AATATCAGTTTAAAAAACCTTTACTTTCATCAGACCTACCATCAGCAGGCAGACTAAAATATTTTCTACCCAACTGGGAACGGATAACAGGGGACCACTGGGTCCTTCAAGTGGCTTCAGGATATCTGATAGAGTTTACCCATACCCCTATACAATATCAAACCCCCCATATGATTCACACTTCTCTGGAACAAGTGACCTTGATCGATCAGGAAGTAAAGGAGCTCGTATCAAAAGGGGCAGTGCATTTTGTTTACCAAATCACTTTCACGACCAAGGCTTTATCAATACAATTTTTGTGCTACCAAAGGAAGGGGGAGGCCACAGGCCAGTGATAAACCTGAAGCCCCTAAACCAGTTTATCCCTTACTTCCCTTACGAGCACTTCAAAATGGAATCAATATTAATGGTAAAGGATCTTTTAAGAAAAGGGGATTTCTTGGTGAAGATCGACCTCAAGGATGCTTACCTAACAGTACCTATAGGGGAAGCCCACCAGAAGTTTCTCCGCTTCAGGTGGAAAGACGCTCTCCTAGAGTTCAGCTGCCTTCCCTTCGGACTAGCGAGTGCCCCAAGGGTGTTTACCAAACTTCTAAAACCGGTTTGGTCATTACTCAAACCCAGGAGAACTCGCCTCATAGCATACCTAGAAGATGTTCTCGTGATGGCCAGTTCCGTGGATCTAGTGAAACGTCATGCCAAGATGGTGCTGTCCCTATTAGAAAGTTTAGGTTTTGTCGTAAATTACACAAAATCTGTTCTAGATCCCTCAAATCAGTTAGAACTCCTATGCTTCCAGATCAATTCAGAGACCCTATGTTTAAGCCTCCCAAGGAACAAGGTCAGGAAAATACGGTCTACCAGCCAGTCTCTGTTAGAAAACCCGAATACCACGGTAAGGAAATTGTCAAAATACCTGGGCCTCCTGTCCTCTTCCATTCAAGTCGTATTTCCAGCCCCTCTCCACTACCGTTACCTCCAGCGGGGAAAAAATGCATCCCTGAAGGCACAACACACTTACGAAGCCCCAGTTTACCCAGTTTATCAGGCCTTACAGGAGGTAATGTGGTGGAGAGACAATCTTATTGCCTGGAATGGAGGGGCTGTGTTATAGGAACCCACAGACCTGGTCATAGAGACTGATGCATCCCTATAGGATTGGGGAGCTCACTGCCAAGGGGTATCCACAGGAGGGAAATGGTCCCAAACAGAAGCCTCTTCTCACATCAATTATCTAGAGCTTCTAGCAGGGTCTCTAGCCATAAAGTCATTCAAGAAGAACAGGGTAAAAGTCCAGGTACTACTCTTAATGGACAACATAACAGGCTTGTTAGCTCAATTGGTAGAGCGCTGCACTAGTATCTCAGAGGTCAGTGGTTCGAGTCCCGTACAGGCCTGATTTTTTTCAGGTCTGATTTTCGCTATTGCATAAATAGCGCTATCTACTGCGAGGATCGTGCATCATACGTATCTAATACCACAGTTGAAAAATATATGAACTTCATATATTCATTGTATCTGATTTATCACTTTCACGGGTTTACTACGAATCCACTTAATGGTCTGCTCCCAGTTGGCTTGTTAGCTCAATTGGTAGAGCGCTGCACTAGTATCGCAGAGGTCAGTGGTTCGAGTCCCGTACAGGCCTGATTTTTTTCAGGTCTGATTTTCGCTATTGCATAAATAGCGCTATCTACTGCGAGGATCGTGCATCATACGTATCTAATACCACAGTTGAAAAATATATGAACTTCATATATTCATTGTATCTGATTTATCACTTTCACGGGTTTATTACGAATCAACTTAACGGCCTGCTCCCAGTTGGCTTGTTAGCTCAATTGGTAGAGCGCTGCACTAGTATCGCAGAGGTCAGTGGTTTGAGTCCCGTACAGGCCTGATTTTTTTCAGGTCTGATTTTCGCTATTGCATAAATAGCGCTATCCACTGCGAGGATGGTGCATCATACGTATCTAATACCGCAGTTCAAAAATATATGAACTTCATATATTCATCGTATCTGATAACAGCAGTGTCGTACATCAACAAAATGGGGGGACCCACTCCCCGATGTTGTCCTATCTGTCAAAGGACTTGTGGGATTGGTGTCTGAGCCACAACATCCTTGTCAAAGCCCAACACATTCCAGGGTTTCTCAATACAGAAGCAGACAGGGAGTCCAGGGTTTTCCTGGACACCAGTGATTGGAAACTGAACTCTGCCCTCTTTCGTCAACTGCTCCAAGCTTGGGGTACCCTGGAATTAGACCTTTTTGCCTCGAGACTGACTTACCAGTTGGACCAGTTTGTGAGTTGGAGGCCAGACCCGCAGGCACTTTTCACAGATGCATTCACACTGGATTGGAGCAAATTCAGGGCATATGCCTTTCCCCCATTTGCTCTGATTGGTCACTGTCTACAACAGGTACGCAGACAGAAGGTGCCTTACATAGTTCTTGTAGCCCCAGTTTGGATGAGCCAACCATGGTATCCCCTACTACTAGACCTATGCATAGATTTTCCCCTACTGTTCCCACTCAGGAAAGATCTTTTGTCTCAGGGACCCTATATCCACCCCTTAGACAATCTTCAACTAGCTGGGTGGCTTCTATCAACAGAGGTTTCCAGGAGACAGGAATTTCTGAACAATCTAGGGATATCCTCCTGGCATCCTAGAGGAAGAACACCTCTAGCTCTTATGCCTTAACATGGCATAAGTGGACTAGCTGGTGTTCTCAAAGGGTAACTGCAGATCCCCTTACACCACCTTTGAACCATGTCCTTGAATTCTTCTCATCACAGTTTCAGGATGAGAAAGAATAGAGGTCCATCAATGTTTATCGGTCAGCTCTCTCATCTGTACTTTCACCCATTGATGGCTATAAAGTTGGGTCCCATCCTCTTGTGTGTCAAATGTTAAAAGGTGTGTATTACTTAAGACCACCCCAGCCCAGGTACTGCTCGACTTGGGATGTTTCAAAGATGGTGGATTATATTGCCTCACTAGGACCAAACGAGAAGTTGTGCATCAAACTTTTGTCTTTCAAACTGGTTGGGCTTCTCGCCCTTACATGTCCTGATAGAGCATGAGGTCTTTGTGCAAGGGATTTGAGGTTCCGGCGTTTTCTCCCAGAGGGTGTTCAATTTCAGCTAGCTGAACTGACTAAAAAAAATTAGAGTAGGTCAATCCCCTAAAACATGTTTCCATGCCAGTTACTCTGACAATCCCTTGCTGTGTGTTTGTGCATGCCTAAAAGAGTAGGAATCCAGGACCCAAGAATGGCGCCCATCTAACCCTGACCAACCAGACAAGATATTCCTTTCACACATCAAACCTCACAAACCAGTCACACCAGCAACTCTGGCTAGGTGGATGAAACAGCCAATGCATTTGTCTGGTATAGACACTACTAAGTTTAAGGGACATTCCATTCGCGGAGCAGTTGCTACAGAAGCTTCTAGACATGGCCTTTCGATTCAAGATATCCTAGAATTTGCTAACTGGTCACAGCAGAAGACGTTTATTCAATTTTATTATAGACCACGTTTTGATTCCTCAAGAGGGAGGACAATTTTATCTTTTGTCTCTTAATTACCGTTGAGTTGAAGGCTTTAAACATGCATTGTTAAAGGCAAGTATTTCGATGTATAATCGGGGATTATGCAAGCCTATTTATAGGTGAGGTATAATCTAGATTATAAGAGAAATACGAGACGAGATTTAACAATGCAATCCCACCCTTCCTCTCCCGCTTTACATCTTACTTTCATGTTCTTCTTATGCTTTCTTTCAGGTTCCGTTCACTTCAAAGACGGAGATTCGAGCGGGGCCTTTTGTTTCTATGGTTATGCTTTAAAACACTGTTGTATGACAGGGTAATAGTTGTCAATTTTATCTTTTTAAGAGACTTGCTTTCAATTACATCTCATTTATTGTCTTACATATTTTTATAATTAAAATATTGTTAAAGATAGTGGTTTCAATTTTGTAAAAAGAATGTTTAAGAGTTGTTGAGGACTTTAAAATTATTAAGAATATGAATAATAGAGCTATTAAAAAAGCAATGCGCCAAATAAGTTGTAAACATCCACTCAGACTAGCATCGTCAGTGATCTATTTTGATCTACACGTATTGAAAATGAGTCCGCTTTCTTTCTTTTTTTGACAAAAATTTGTAGGCAGCGCTTTTCACTTCCTATGCATTAATATTAACAAGCAGAACAAAGAAACACGCGGTGGCGGGGAGTTACGAAAACAAACGACATAATTTGAGCTTGTCAAAACGTAAATTAAACAACACTCCTCGTCAGATTACATGCCTTTGTAAACATTCCTAAGCAAAGAAGCCCGAGTTCACGCAGTTATGCGTTTAGTTCTATTAGTTTTGCCAACAAT